ATACTGGTGATGCTGATATCATACTGGTGATGCTGATATCATACTGGTGATGCTGATATCATACTGGTGATGCTGATATCATACTGGTGATGCTGATCTCATACTGGGGATGCTGATATCATACTGCCACTGGTGATGCTGATATCATACTGGCAATGCTGATATCATACTGGCGACAGTTGCCGCTGTCATGCCCTGAAGCCCGTACAGCGAGCCCATGATACGTCTGTCATTACCGGCAGTCATACAACAACGCGGAGGAGACGAGGACTGATTGATCGAGGTAGGGGTGGGGGGGGGGGGGGTCACGGCCGCGTGTAGCGAATGAAGCGTCTACACGCCGCAGTGCACGCGAAGAATGGAAGAAATCAAGCGACGACACAAGCACAGCGACGACACGCCGGCAATCTACGAGCCTGCGCCGACCGCCACTGATTGCCGACGCGCGAGCGAGGCTATCATCACATTCAGGCACGCACACACACATACACGCACGCGCACATACATACAGCACGCACACATACACGCACGCACACGCACACGCATACAGGCACGCACACGCACACACATACAAGCACGTACACGCACACATACAGGCACGCACACGCATAGTACAGGCACGCACACGCGCACATACACGCACGCGCACATACATACAGCACGCACACGCACACGCATACAGGCACGCACACATACATACAGCACGCACACATACACGCACGCACACATACATACAGCACGCACACATACACGCACGCACACGCACACGCATACAGGCACGCACACGCACACACATACAGCCACGCACACGCGCACGCGCACACATACACGCACGCACACACATAGTACAGGTACGCACACGCGCACGCGCACATACAGGCACGCACACATACAGGCACGCACACATACAGGCACGCACGCACACGCAAACGCACACGCACACGCACACATACACGCACGCACACACACAGGCACGCACACACACAAACACACACACACACACACGCACACATACAGGCACACACACATAGTACAGGCACGCACACATACACTACAGGCACGCACCCATACAGGCACGCACACATACAGGCACGCACACATACAGGCACGCACACATACAGGCACGCACACATACAGGCACACACACATAGTACAGGCACGCACCCATACAGGCACGCACACATACACTACAGGCACGCACACATACAGGCACGCACACATACAGGCACGCACACATACAGGCGCACACACATAGTACAGGCACGCACCCATACAGGCACGCACACATACAGGCACGCACACATACAGGCACGCACACATACAGGCACGCACACATACACTACAGGCACGCACCCAT